TTGACATAGTGAATAGGGAATTAAGCTAACACTTGCATCAAGATCACAAAGAGCTTTGTTAACTTTAGATCCACAAATGATACATGGAATTGAGAAGCTTCCAGGATCACGTAACTTGGGTGTGATCTTATTTTGGATTATGGCACTGCATTCTTGACTCATTGCAACAGTGGCTGGATTCTCCTTTTTCTTTGTGAGAATATCTTTGAGAAATTTAACATATGAAGTAATTTATGTAATGGCATCAAGCAAAGGAATTGAGATATCCAATTGTTTGATAACATTCAAAAATTTAGTTCTCCGCTCCTCCATATTAGCTTTCCAATCTGTTCGGATAAGGAACTGGGGGAATATATTTCCTTACCGAACTGCCTCTTTCTTTCTTCGACCCTTCACGATCATCAGATGATTTTGGCATGGTACTGACATCAAGTTCATTGTTTTTGTTTCTACCTTTCTTTTGTTGCTCAGCCCTTTCCTCCAACACTTCATGTTCTTGTTCATCACTAGAAAGGGGCAAGGATTGATGTTGTTTCCCACTCCGAGTAGTGACGAAATTGATTTGCTCCCTCGGGTTTTCGGGACAAGCAGGAAGCTTACTCATCACTTTAGTTGATGATGTGGATGCTTGATTAGCAATTTGATTCTCAAGCATCCTGTTGTGAGCTCGGAGTTGACCAAGTTCTTTGGTGATTTGTTTCAGGGTTTCAACATGAGATAATTGGGACTTGAGAAGTTGGTCAACAATGTTTTCTAGGACAGGAGTTTGGGTTGTTTCAGGAGTGGGGAGAAGTGGTTTTTGCTGTTGATTTGAAGGGTATGGAAGATTTTGAGTAGGTTTATACTGTTGTTGGTTCACAATACCTTGGCCACCTCTGAATTGTTGTTGTTGGTTTTGGAAACCGGGTGGTGCACTCCGGTAAGATTGTTGTGCATTAGCAGCTCCATTTGGATTGCTCCAGGAAAAACCAGGATGGTTTCTACCTTGAGGATTGAAATTGCCAAATTGATTTTGTTGGGGCTGCCTGTTGTAGTTGACAAAGTCAACTTGTTCCATTGCTTCCCATGGACAAGTGGACTGATTGTGTTGTCCACCGCAAGATTACACATAAGAACGGGAATGGGAGCTGGAGTTGATGTAGAGTTTTGCACAAGAGAGACTTGTGCCATCTTTTGGATTAGATTCATCATGCTATCGACCTTTGTGGTTATGACCAACATTTGTGGTTAGATTCATCATGCTATCGCTCAGAATACCATGTTGATCCATTTGATGAAATACGCTCCATCAATTCTTCTGCCTCTTCAAGTTCAAGGCACATGAATGATCCATTTGCTGACGTGTCCACGAGTATCCGAGAATTTTTGTGTAGGCCTTAATAGAAAGCCGTCATCAAGTGCCAGTTTTGGATGTTATGATGTGGACACTGTCGCTGAAGATCTTTGAATCTTTCCCAAACCTCGTAGAGGGGCTCATTGGGATTTTTCTTGAAATTTTGAATCATTCTTCGGATTTTCGCCGTCTTAGATGGCGGGAAAAATCTTTTGAGAAATTCACCATGAAGTTGATCCCAAGTGGAGAAGTGATTATCCGGAAAAGAGTCAAGCCAACTCTGAACTCGATCCCGTAGAGAAAATGGGAACAGGCGTAGTCTGGCAGCATCAGTTGGCACACCATTGATTTTGAAGGTGTTGCAAGCTCGAAGGAACTTTGTGATGTGATTATTTGGATCCTCCGTTGGCGCTCCGCCAAATTGAGTATTTGAAACCATATGAATGATAGCAGGCTTGATTTCAAAGTGATTCATGTTAACCTTCGGTGGAATAACACTCTCATGCTCATCCACGGGAGGCGTAACATAATCATACAGTGGTTTCCTGGTCCTCGTAACCTGATCCACGATCTGTTGATCGGGTACCTGCTCATTAACAACAACATTGTTTGACATTTTTTTTATTTTTTTTTCTGTTCACGTATGTGCTTTTCAATGTCAGAGAAGAATAACATTTCACAATTCGCACCACGTGAACGTGTGAGCATAAGCAGAAGGGAATTGGGATTGGGGACAGAGAGAGAGAGAGAGAGAGAGAGAGAGAGAGAGATGAAAAGAAAAAACAAATGCGGAATTAATTAATTAATTAAGGTTCGCACGTAGTCAATTGGTATAAACTGAATAAGACTAGTGAGCCCTTAAAGCAGTATAAATATATACAGTAATTCACCAGGATGCGGCTGAGCCGACAGATTTGGTGATTTGAAAAGGAAAAAAAAAATAGCTGCAGTAATAAATACAGTCTCCACAAGGATGCAGCTATGCCGACAGTCTGGGGATTATTAAGAAAAAAATAAAAATAAAAAGTGCACTCCACCAACAAGTGGACACGGCTGACAAGCTTGGGGATGCAAAATTAAAAAAAAATGCTGAAATTAAAGTCCGGAAATTAAATTGCGATAATATAAGTGCACAAATTAAATTGCGATAATTAAAGTGAAAAAATTAAAAAGTTGGGGTTTGAACCACCATAAAAAAAAAATAAACGGTCCGACCATATAGGCGGAGTATCCTTCGAATTATAATGTACAAGTAAGTGGTCCAACCATATATGCGGATTATCCTTTGAATGAAAATGTAACAATATGTTCAATGGTCCGAATGTCCAGATATGTTCAGTCAACAAGTCCAAATCAAATGCACAGGTAAGGTAATTAATCACAGTCCAATTTTTTTGTTTTTTTTTTTGTTTTTTTTGAACTGTAATTAATCACTTTTTTTTTGTTTTTTTTTGAACTTGCAAAAGTAAACATTATAACAACAAAATAATATACACACAATTTACAATAACTAAAATCGAAAGTTTATGCTTTCAATTTTTTTCAAAATCGCTTCCCCGGCAACGGCGCCAAGTTGGCGTGTAGCATATAATGGGCACACAACTATTTTTTACCCAATGAAGTAGGGTGTCGAACCACAGAGAAGCGGGAAAATAAAATAATTAAGCACAAACTAAGGATTAAAGTTGAGAATGCGTTTCTTTTGATTTTTGTTTGCTTGGAAAAGTAATTAAATAAAAGTGATTGAGAGAAGAAATTTTTATCAACACAAAGTTCAACCAATAATAGCAAGTAGGGGTAGAAATTGGCAACTAATTGTTCAATGCTTATTTGAAAGACATAATTGTTAATTGTATTCTTAGATAGATTGTGAGAAGTTGTAGATAAATATTTTAGGACCCAACACAAGTCATCTAAACTAAGTAACTAGTCAACATTTCCCAGTGATGGCCAAAACGAGACTAGTTGTTTAAGTGCAACGACAACCTTAATTATTACGTATATTATTTACCCAACCCCGTGGTGTAAATAATATAATTAAATAATTAAATTCTCCCGTAAAACTTCAATCCAGGACAAGGTAAAAGAAGTTTAACGGTGTGTTCAGAAAGTGTTCATTTGTGTATTTAACAAATAATATGATTATGATTGAGTACTCATAATATATATCACAAACACAACATAATTAATTTTCTGGACACAACAATTAAAATCAATACAAATTAAAACATTATAAGAACAATTAATTAACCAATTTCTAGCCCCAAATTTATTTAGCTATACATGTTGGGAAGCATAGAAATAGATGAATCCATGATTAAAGTACAAGATTTAATGAGATGAGGAAGATCAAACTTGTGATAGATGACAATCCTTAGAGCTTTGATGCTAATCTTGATTTAATCTTGGATGAGAAAGTGATTAGTTGTGGTTGAAGATGAGTTGATGATTTGAGGTTGAGAAATGAAGAGAGAAGCAGGAGGAAATGTTTCTAGGATGTTTAGAGAGAGGTTGGCTCGAGATTATGTGTGGACGAAGATGGATTAAGGCAATATAATGATAAGGTGGTTAATCATTAATTGCTGGAATTTACGGAACATATGAGTTTATGTACAACAAAGCACAGTAATGTTACAATAGTGTGTAGTAGCCTAGCGGATGAAGTCCTTAAAGGAATATTTAGGTCTTGGGTTCAATACATGTTAGCTTCTCCTTTAATTCCACTTTTTTTAAAGTTAGGCTTGAAGCAATGTATACGAATTTCCAACAAAAACCTTCATCTTTTTCATTTAGCTCATTGGTTGAGTGTGTCCAATCCTTTTCCAATTGACCAATGTTTGAATCCCACCTCAACCATTATCACTTTTTGCTATTTTTCTCCAAGTTATCTTTATTTGTTTTGAAGGAAATTCCACTTTTGTTATCCTCCAACTTGAACTTTCATTTTCTCCATTTGTTCATGCTAAATGTATCCAAATAACATCAAAAGTACCTGAAAATACAAAATACATGCATAGGACCGCAGAAGTACAAAGTAATGATAAACAATAAGAATATATACATATATACAATTTAAGTGACCAATATTATTAAAAAACTAAGTCTAAAAAGTGTGTAAAATATGAGCACATCGGTGGAACCTGTTCAAGGTAAAAAAATGAATGTTCCCTGCGTCATTGTAGTGACCTAAAATTTGACAAATGATAAATTAAATTATTTTTTTAATAAAGGGCCGGTTTTGGTGAACTGAAGAACAATGCCCCGCTATCCTAAGGGCGTATAATGCCAGAGTTTTAAACTGGCTTCGTCCCACTTTTAAGCGTGCCCGAGCCAGTGGGGTAAGGCCTCAATGGTGTTCGGATGAGGTGTGGGAAAACCTCGTCCACCACTGGTCTTTGGATCCGACCTTCTTGGCTAGAAGCGAAGCCGAGAAGAAAAATCGGATGTCCGAGAAGGCATTAACGACACAATGGCACGGGGGCCGCAAACCTCAGAGTAAACATAAGGAAGCTCATGTAAGTCTTATTCAATAAACGTTACACCATTTTAACCATTCATTTTTACATTTATTTATGGATTTTAAGCCTTTTTCGAACCATGTAGGGCCTCAGAAGAAGAGGGTCTCTATCCTCAAGGTCATCAAACACTGTTGGACGAAGAACGGTGATGAGTCAGAAGCCGATCTGCCACCCCGCCTTGCTGAAATTGAAGTACATAACATCAATTTTATTATTTCAAATCGAAGTAAATATCATTTTAATAAGTTTTGTACATGCTTGTAGACGAAGTATAACGCAAATGTAGATCCTTGAGACAGCTGGGGTGTACAAGGGTTGGCTTCCGTGCCTGAGGGCTGAGGGGCAACGGATTTTGTACGACCGCAGTTGCAGCGGAGCTTCATCATCTTCTCGATCAAGGCGGGGAGAGGATCCACGCATCGCCAAATTGCAGCAAGAATTGGAGGAGGAGCAGCGGGCGTTAGAGCATGTTCCTCGGCCTCTTGTTGTCAGAAGCGATGAAGAAACAAGGGCCCGGCTAGAAGCGATGGAACAGATTGTTGTCAGATATCAACCTCCACCTCAGTCTCTTCCTCGGCCGTACATGTTGCACGTTGAGCAGACTCCTCAAGTTACGCACATGGATCATATGGGTTATAATTCTAACTCCGGATATGGTAGCATGTCTGCAATGGGGTCAACATTCGGATCTCTGTCGTCTGATTTCTTCAATCAATTTCAGTCATCCGGAGGAGGCGACTGAGGAGGCGACCGAGGAGGTAGCCGAGGAGGTACCCGACCCATAGACTTCGTGGATGTCGAAGAGGATCATCTTGATTATGATGATAATGATGCATATGATATTGTTGGATTAAAGTAGAGGATTCAACAATGGTTATAGGCGTTTTACCTTTATTGCAGGTAAAATGTCCCAGTAAATAACACGAAAGACAATAGGGTTCAATGTTTTTGTAAATTACCTCTTGAGTAAATCCGGTGCTGCCAGTTTGAATTCCGATTCTGTAGATCCTCTCAGCTGTGACATCCAATTCCACACAGATTGTGGCCTTTGATGTCTGGATAAGTTTGCCGTTCTCATGTAAACGAGTAGTGGTTTGCCGATTAGGGTAGCTATCGACAGTAAAGCTCGTTTGTCTTGAAAGTGGACCGGTAGATTGGGGAGGGTAATCTAGGTGGGGGTTATGGGAGATTCTTTACCAGGCCGAAAATCAGTTGTCCATTTGGTGATACGAAGCTTGAAGCCCATTATTAACCATGTCTGGTTCAGCCAGCACCGTAGGAAGTCTTCTTCCCTGTCAAAGGTGATGAGAATGTGTCTGGGGGACAAAGGTCCAAGCGTGAAGTTACCTTTGAACCTGAGCTTGTCAAAGGTGCTTCTAACCGCAGCAAGTTTTCGGATCCCGTGAAGGAAGGTCCCAACTAGAGCGTGTGTTGGCGGTTTAGCCGGGGCAGTGCTTTCTTCTTGGGAAAAAGAGACTGCAGGAAGTCCTTGGAATGTAGAGGGTTCTTTTAGGGGAAGAGGGTTATCGGGTTGGTTGAGCATATCTGCAAAAGTAGCAGGTTTGGTTTTGTGGGAGGATGTAGGTCCAGCAAAAGGGGGGTTTACTGATGGCCCGGTGGATAGGGTTGCCTTGTATGACCCCTTCCGGGTATGTGTAGAAGATGGTAGGGGTTGTGTATTTGCGGATGGGAGGGAGGGCTGGTTGTTTGGTGGTGGTTAAAATTGGTGGAGTGGCTGAGACAGTGGTAGATGGAGGTGGGATTATATCTGAGGATGTTGTTGGTGTGCCGGGGTCGAAGGTGGATGAAGCTGGTACTGATAGGTTGCTGGCAGTTGCAGCTGCGCTGGTTGATGCTCCTGCTTCAGCTAGTGTGCTCTTAGCTCCGGCGGTCATGGCTGCATGGTGTAGGCGGAGGGAGGATCCACTGCTCGTGAATTATTTGGAAGATCTTGGAAAAGCCCAAGATACTTTTGGATCCGCTACTCGTGAATAAGAAGTACGTAATACTTCGTAAATCGTGATATAAGTCTATATATATATATATATATATATATATATATATATATATATATATATATATATATATATATATATATATATATATATATATACACTTAGCTTCGTATATGCTATCGTATATATCAATGTCATATTGTCAATTGCATCTTAGGAATGGTATTGAGCCACAATCAGAGACTTTCCTTTCAATTATTATACTCCGTATTTAAGAAGGTGCAATTGGGAATATTGTTTATCAATCTAATTAACTTGCGAAATTTAAAATTTCAATATCAATAAAGGGGAAAATAATGTTACCTGATGGTATCAATTTAAGATTGATAAGATTACCGAGCAAACACATTTATTATAGCTTAATATCTATTTTTTATGCATCTGTACATATCTAAATATGTGTGATACATACTTATACGTACATACATATGAAAGGAAAATTAAAATAATTATATGTCACATATATAAATATTAAATCTGGTCCAATATTTATATTATATATAAACCCAATGTACGGAGTTGTAGGTAAAAGTCAAATTAAAACGTCTGATGTACTATTTCGTATGTAGTATCGTAATTAAGATTCAAGAAAATAAAAAAAAAATGGACAAACATCAGTAGTACAGGACGTAGGATTTACTGCGGAGTATAAAAACATTATTTTATGTTTTAGTTTGATACTCCTCACACGTTGCAGCCTGCAGTACTATGTATTTTGGCTGAGATACACAGAGTAATAAATTTTATTTTATTATTACGATAGTAGTCACATGCAATGTTTCTGACATGTACAACCGGCTTTTAATGCATTGTCATTTGATGCCATAAAATAGCTAAGTTTATTTATTTTCACAACTTCCAACTATTTCTTCACATGTAGAGGTTAGAGTAGTATAAAAATTTCAAACTTTTATCTTTTAGCTTCACATATCCGTAAGTAGTAATCTTCATTTTAGGTTTTTTTTATTCTATTGATATTATAACATCCGTATGAGGATAACTATGTTCAATCTCAAATTCACTTTATTTGGAAGAAAAACAAGAATATGCAAGTAAGATATACGTAGTATTATCTATAATATAGAGTAAATCATCTCAACTTTCAACAACAGATTCTGTTTCTATATATAAAGGTATGTCTTTCTTCTATCTTCTTCAATTTTTAGAGAAAATATAGCTACAATTTTCTGATATGGAGGATCTCAATGGTTGGGCAACCATAGAGTATACTTCTTATAGTTTTGAATATATCTATGCATGTTTATACTTCTCAACCTCTAATTTTTTTTCCAGATAAATTGATAAATTCCTGAAAAATATATACCTGCTGGGAAGATGGTGATTTCAGGGATTTGGAGCAGATTCGTGCTGATAACGTGTTATAATATGGAAGGAAATAAGCAGAAGATCAGGGAGAGAAAATATAATATGAACACCTACTGATAGAGGTGTTATTGAGAGTCTGATAATGGTGTAAATCAAGGTGTGTTAAATACAATGGAGAAGTCTCCTATTTATAGGGGAAAAGCTAAGCTTATTAGGATTAGAGGATAAATGTGAATCACACAATTATTATCTAGAATCATAATTATGATTTCTTAATTATTTATACAATGGTGATAATAATTCCTAATCAGGAATAGGTGGAAGATGACTAATTCAATTATATTTCAACAGAAATTAGACTTTAAGAGTTTTTGAGGTGCCATTCTTTTCCCCCCTTTTTAGGCATCACTCAAAAATGTGCTCTTTTGTTTGTGAGGAAAGCATTATGCTGAGATGATTCTCCTGGATAAAATCCTTGCGTGGCCTTCTTTTTTCTCCTCTCATTTTCATGCTTTATTTCTTCCAGTTTGCGTCGGTAGATCCTGTGGATGTATTCCATTGAGGTGGCAATCTCAATGTTCTTCGTTCTTAACCATCCCGGGGCAAACTTTTATTCTTTTCTTAATTCAATCTCATTTAGGAGAACAATGTTGATTAGAGTCATCCGCAGAGTTAGTCAAGTCATCTGGTTTCTGGACTTTGTCAACTGGAGTTGATTAGTTTGCATTTGAAGCCTAGAATACTCTTGAAAGTTTAAGTAGCATTTTAACAAACATTTCTTTGTTGCTCAAAAAATCCTGTAGGCTCTTGTTTTAGCCTGTGATTTGAGAGTTTGCTAATGCATTTTCATCACTCATCGTCATCTAAATAATCCTCAATTCTGTTGATTGAGTGTATCCTCTTGCATCTTTTTGAACATTCCCCTGTGTTGATGATTGAGTCCTTTTGACTTGTAAACTTAGAAATGGACATTCTTAGGACACTGCTATTAGTATGAACTAGCTTTTTAATAGGGTGCTCCTAAATTAGGACTCTGCTATTTAGTAGGTTGCTCCTATTTTTAATAGAACACTTGTAAGATGCTCTTATTAAAAACAAGACTCTACAAAATAGTAGGGTGATCCTTTTGAATTAGAGTCCATTCCTTAAGTTTTTATTGAGGTGAAAAAGTTCCCCCTCAATCTGTGATATTCTTCTCATAAGCAAGATGAACGTAATAATGTTTGCCTAAAACTTTTGAGTAGTTCCCCCTGAGTTGTATGTCCTTCAATTGATATCAAATGATGATACCAATTGATAGTTTACTGTGATGAGGAGGAGTACCTTTAGGGGTTTTTTGGCATATATATTCCTTCTTCAAGGTTGTTCAACATTTAAGCTCTTGCCTATGAGAATTAGATGTGCTAGGATCCATTGTTGTCTTGAAATATCTCATTGTTGTAGACATCATCAAAATCTACCTTCGGTGCAATATGATCCTAACAATCTTTGTGTGATGTTGTTGATGTTGATTCAGTCCTTTGAATAAGGCCATTCTGATTGGGATTAAACATCATCTGATACATCCACTTATACCTGGTGACAGGAGAAGAAGATCTTTTCAGTTGATTCCTTGCCAGCAGTTTTTCAGCAAGCAGCTTGGAGCTTACTGTCTTGAGAATCTCTTCTTTCCAGTGAGAACATCTTTGATGACATTCTTGAGAACAGAATGTCTTCATCTGTCATAGACGAGCGTGTGCTCAATAGATAATTCTTTAAATCGTTAACATAAGTTGTGTTAATGATCTGAGAATTTCATTTTGTTTATTTCCAGTCTTGACCTTTTTATTCCACTCAATACTTCCATCATCTTTTTGCCTTGTTGGTTCTTCCTTTCCTTTAAGAGCAGTAGTACCACTTATGATACCATGAGAAACCCACGATAGTCTTTTGATATTCATAAACACTAGTTGTCACTTGATGAATAATGAAATCATTAGATGTTTGTTTGTTTCATGATATTGATTGCTCTCTTCTCCCTTTATATCATTGAAACCTCTTTTGAACCTTCGTTGATCCCTTTGTGGACTAGTTGACTTCCCAAAAATGTTGTCAGCCAGAAGTGTGTGTGATAGGTTCTCTGGTATGGGAGTAAGGGTAACGAGGGTGTATGATGATGTGGAAATATATAGTTGATTCCTAGTTCATTTGTTTATGGAGTTGATATGGATAATGAATGGACCAGTAAGTGTATTGGTTTTCTGGAGGTTAGGGACAGATTTAAGAAAGTCATATTCAATGTCAATCCAGTGATCTTCATTTGTAATGAACGTAATGAGATCTCTCGGTTTTTATTCCTTATAAGATTGTTCTCAACCATCAAATTATCCTTTTGTTGTTATTTTCGGATTTTCTGATGTTCAAGATTTTTAGTTTGTGAAAGGAATAAATTTATCTGAATGTTCTATGAAGTGAAGCACAGTTGGGATAAAGGTGTGAACATTCAAGATAAACAGAGTTACTGGAGATGTATTTGAATATACCTCTTCATGAACATCTTTCTTTGTAGAGTTGGCCAGAATTGTGATGTCATTATAGTAGGCTTGACTTCTTCTTATTTGTTGAACAACAGTCTCTTTCCTTGATGTGTGATCATAGCTTGCTTTCTCCTTCCTTGTCTCTTCTTTTGAAGAGTATCCTTCATAGTGTTTTCCATATATGTTCTATAAGTGTTTTGGGAGATTGGTGGTTGATCTTTTGTTCAAAATAAGCCGGTTAAAAACTGACTCTATGAACAACCGCTCTGATACCGATTGATGGTCCCAAGTGAGGTAGAAGTCTAGAGGGGGATGAATAGACTTTTAAAAATATTTTCTTTTTCAACCCTTTTTCCTCAAATAGAATGTGTTCCAATATCTTTTGGGAGATATTGAAACATACAGCGGAAGTCTTGACCTCAAGAGTGTGACACTTTATATGAACAAAGGTTATGACCCTTTTAGTTGTAACAGAGATGGGTGGACAGAACACCTTTGTGTGAAGGATTTAGACCTATTGACATAGATCTCTTTGAAGTACGTAGGTAAGGAGTTTTAGTTCACATAAAACTTTAGGGAGTTTTCTGGACAGTGAATATGCAAGCCTTTGGGATAGTGTGAAGGTGAGTGAGAACTGAAGTATGTGTTGGGTGCTGAATATAAAAGGTACACAAGATATATCCTGGTTCAAAGGTGGTGTAATCCTCCTACATCCAGTCCCAACCTATTTCAGATAGATTTCCACTAAATGAATATCCCATTACATTTAGTGCCCAATCTACCCCTGGCTCGGGCGTAGATTGTGAGGTTTTTCACGAGGAACCACATTGTTCCAAGCTACTCATGTCCTCCAAGGTTTTTCACTAATGACATTGCCCAGCCAGAAGCTACTCATGTCCTTGCCTCACCTTCTGGATGATCACACGCATACCAGAATGAATACACTAGTCTAGTTTACATGGGTTTAAACTAGTCTACCAACTATTCTTTTTTTTTGGGAAAATGTAAATATATAGATAGTAACCAAGTTTATGTACATCGTATGAGCAAAATTTGAGGCATATCCAAGCATGGATACCCTATAACTTCAAAAGCTGTAGAGCTTATCCTCTAACTACTATCCTCTAGCAAAATAATAGCCATCACCTCATGACAAAAAATAGGATAGTTTATAATTCAAAACGGTATCATATGATACGGATATAGCGAGAATAGCACTTTGTACACCATATACTTGATATGTGCAATTGTATCATCCATCTTTGGCGCTGCTCCATCAAATCGAATTGCATTTCTAGTCCTCCATATCCAATAGATTGTATAGCTGAACGCTATCCTTGTAGCCTTTGCTCTAATGTGTGCTCCGTTGCAATCTCTTGAAATCCATTTCACCGCACTCCTCAACGAAGACATTTGCCTAGAGATTCCAAGCCATCCTTTTATACTCTCCCAAATCTGCCCTGTACAAACACATTCAAAAAAATAGGTGTGGTACCGTCTCCGGACCACCCTTACAAAATGGACAGACATTAACTATATCAAGATAAACCATATTATCATATGTAGGCAGCCTATTACGATAGGCTAGCCACATAATGAAAGAAAACTTGGGTGGGATATAGGCTTTCCAAATGAAAGCCATCCATGCATGGGTAGTCCCTTTCATCCTAAGAAGGTCATATACCTTTGAAGAAGAAAGCTTACCATTGTGAGCCATCTTTCCAAGGTTGATAATGGTCTCGGGTATAGAAGGGTATTTAGATACCATGGAGTCTCGGATCAAAGCAATTCTCTTCATCAATTGAGAGTCCCTATTGTGTGGAACAAAAGTCCACACATCTCTCCCATGAAGATAAACTCCATTTACCCATCTTACCCAAAGTGTGTCCTGTTTTTCATGTATATTCCAAAGTGTACGAGACAGTAATGCATTATTCCAAACATTTGTATCTCTAATTCCTAACCCCCCTTCCTCTTTTGGTAAACATACATCTTCCCATGCCACTTTAGCATGTTTACCCCCCCACAAAAAAAATCTACATAAACTCACAATTCTGTCCAAAATGGTTTTGGGAACAGGAAATATGCCTAGCCAAAATGACTGCACCCCTTGGACAACTGACTTTATCAACTCAACTTTCCCAGCATAAGACAAGGACTTTGTATTCCATGCATTAAAATAGTATGTGACCGTATCAATCAAAGGAGAGAATTGGGCAACAGAGATCTTTAGAGGAGCCAATGGAATACCAAGATACCTTACCGGAAAGGATCCTTGTTGAAAGTCCACCAACTGTAATATAGATGGCAATTTTTGTGCAATGTTTCCCCCCACAAAAATATTAGATTTATCTTGATTTACTAGTAAACCCGAGACCCTTCCAAAGTCATTTAAAGCATCAACTAGAATCTTAATGGACTTGAGCTCCCCTTTTGAAAATAGCATTAAGTCATCCGCATAGGCTAAGTGTGAGATCTTTAGTTTGGAGCATAAGGGATGATAGTTAAAATTAGGATTAGAAGTCCTAATAGCTAACATCCTAGACAAGTATTCCAAACATAACACAAATAGCATGGGAGACATTGGGTCTCCTTGTCTCAAACCTCTTTTTCCCTCAAACCAACCATGTAAGTTTCCATTTATGGATATCGAAAAAGAAGAGGTAGTCACACACTCCATGATCCAATTTACAAAAATGTTGGGCAGCCCAATTCCCTTTAAAACCTTTTTCAGGAAAGTCCAAGAAATAGTGTCATATGCTTTCCTAATATCAACCTTAATCATGCATCTCGGAGAGACCCTCTTTCTAGTGTATCCCCTCACCAGTTCTTGGGCAAGGAAAATGTTATCAGTCATTTGTCTACCATCCACAAAAGCACCCTGTGATGGATCAACTACACTAGAAAGACAAGGGCCAAGTCTTGATGCTAAAATCTTGGTAATAATCTTATAAGTCACATTTGTACATGAAATGGGTCTAAAATCAGAAACCGAAGGAGAATGAGAGGTTTTGGGAATAAGAGCTACAATGGTGTGGTTAACCTGTTTGAGCATATTCCCGGACTCAAAAAACTCCTTAACGGCAGCACACACATCCTCACCAACCTTTCCCCAATTGGATTTGAAAAAAGCTGATGAGTATCCATCCGGTCCCGGGGCTTTTTCATTTCCAATATCAAATAGAGCTTCTTTGATTTCCAAATCAGACACAGGTCTAATCAGGTTGTCAAAAGCAGATTGGTCAATGGTTTTACCCGAAGCCATAATGTTTGTATCAAAGTCAAAAGAAGGTACCTCTGTGCCAAAAAGATTTTTGAAAAATGCAATAAACGCCTTTGCAACCTGGTCCATGGACTGGGTGAGAGACCCATCTTGTAACCGAATAGATGCAATTGCATTTTTGGCTTGCCTCTTTTTAACAACTGAGTGGAAATACTTTGTACATCTATCCGATTGCAAAATGTGTCACGCCCCGGACCGCATCCTAGCCACGTAGACAACCGCCGTACAACCCGATAAGAACAACAACAGTTCATCCCTATTGAGTTGTACAAGGCGTCCGATTGATTCTATTGCCAAACCGATTAGTAAACACATACAATCAACATCAATATCAAAATCAAACAAATGCGGAAATAATAAAATGTTTGGTACTTAGCCACACGTGGAAAACACGGGCACGCAGGCCCCAACTGTTTTAATGAAAACATTGTTCAAAAATCCATGAGCGGTTTATACATTTGAAATAAGAATGGAAGCATGAACCACGTCTTCCTTCTCGATCAATCACCCTAGGCAAAGGTGCAGGTAGTAGGACTCTAGCCTCAACCTGAAAAATGTGAGGGCCCCCGGAGGGGTCAGTACTCCATAGAAGTACTAGTGACAAGCAGGCTATATGAAGAATAACTAATGTTTCAGACACGAGACCCAAAAATAGGGTGATACATATATATATGTGACTCATTCATCCGATGATACATACTGTATATATATATGTAAAATACTCGACCCGTAGGTCATTTCATTCAAAGAGTCTTTTAGAGATAAAGTTCTTACTTGACCTTTCTCACCTTTTTCCCGAATGCCTAGCTCACCAGCTACATTCTACATTCATAATATCCTACCGAGTTTTGGGAGCACTTAGCATCCCGGGGATACTCAACCCCAACCGAGTTTCAGGATCATTAAATGTTCCGGGGATGCTCAACCCCAACCGAGTTTCAGGATCATTTGTAGTCCCGAGGATGCTCAACCCCAACCGAGTTTCAGGATCATGTATGGTCCCGGGGATGCTCAACCCCAACCGAGTTTCAGAATCATTTAATGTCCCGGGGATGCTCAACCCCAACCGAGTTTCAGGATCATTTATAGTCCCGGGGATGCTCAACCCCAACCGAGTTTCAGGATCATCTAATGTCCCGGGGATACTCAACCCCAAACTAAATCCTCACCAAACCCTAACCTGGATATGGCTAACCTTTCGTTCCTTCAACTATGGACAATACCTAGCCCTATAGTCATATAACCATCCTTAGGAACCAATGTGGGCGGGTCCCACCTGAACGGCCCACATTAACCCGCTTAAAACTGCCCGTTTTGAGCATAAACCAATACTCGATCGAGTATCTTCCCATACTCGGTCGAGTACAGGAGGCGGTAGCCCCCAAAGCTAATTTTCCATGTATAATCGATCGAGTATATACCTATACTCGATCGGGTATAGGAGACAGTAGGCCCCTGGGCAATTTTTCAGCAAATACCCGGTCGGGTATGTGTCAATACCCGGTCGGGTATGGCAGTTGACTTAGCGGTCAACGCCCCTTTTGACCCCCCAAACGGAGTCCGATTAACTTGAAATTTTATACACATATACTTCTTGATGTCCTTGATCCAAAAATACCATTTTGGATCCCTGGATCATCACACAAAATATGTTACCACATTTTTAATCACCAAACGTACATAACATGCTTTTCAACTATGTTTTATGCAAAATCATGGCATAAGCAAATACTTGATTATCTTTAATCATTCCACAAAACATATCCTTGATTAATTTAGGTAATCTCATGCCTCACGCAAAAGTTATAAAGCATAAAGCCGTCTTCTCACCTTAATGAAGCTTATGAAGTTCTAGCCTTCCCGATTTAGCTCCCGTGAAACTCCGGCGAACTTCAACGAACTCCGGCGACAACTCCGGCGACTCTTTCAACTCCGTGAAAGTTCCTTGAATACCTTAGACAAGTTACTAACAAGGTTTTATCATCATAAAACCCATAGTAGTACAAATAACCCCCAAAAGGTTATTTTCCGGCGAACCGGTCCCTTTGGCTTCTAAGTCCATTCTTGGGCTTAGAACCACCTTCCAACCCCTCGTTCTACACATCCCAACGTGTAGAACAATACTAGGGTGTGAAATATGATTGAATAATCATATAAGATGATTAAAGAAAACGAAATGGGGTTAATGGAGTCCTTACCTTGCTAAACACAAGTTTTCCTCTCCAAAACCAACTTTTCCTCTTCTCTTTTCCCCTCCTTCTTCCTCCTTTGTTCTTGGTGCGTGAAAGGATGAGGAAATGGAGTATTTCAGACCTTCTCTCACTTCTTTGAGTAGGTTAACCGAGCTGTAGGAGTTGGTATGATTGAGGATGCCTTTTTGGCATTTCTCATAAAAATATCTTGGCCAAGGACCCACTCTCATGTTGATTGGTCTCCCAATCAATTCTTGATTGCTCCCCCCTGATCTTGTGCGGCTCCTCTGGCCATTCCCAGAACTAAAAACGTGGGTTGGCCCCCACTTATGTGGGAGGTCAACCCTTTGTGTCCCGGAGTGTACAATCGGTCCCGAAAGTTGTATTTTCCGGACCGTTTTAAGTATATTTCATTTTATCGGGTCAAATAAAATATAACATTTGTTCCCAATCCTTATTGGGCCTTAGAATCAATATGATTCCCCAACTTTAATTTAGAAATCTCCGGACTCCCTTTTTGGGCTGTTATCAGATAAATTGCCAATACCGATAATTTGGCCCCGTTTGACCAACCAGTCAACTCTATGCCATTGCCATAGCCCAATTAGGATATTCATCACCATATCCATATTATCTAGTCCAAGATTAATATAATATGTGGTCCAGATAATATCGGGCGGCCCCACATCCGGTGTGGGTCCCACGTGAATTTTACTATTCACGTAATAGAAATGATAAAAATTTACAATCACGTAAAAATGCTTTTATACATTTCTCGAGGTTCAATACATAATTTGGTACAGTACAAATACTCGGGGGCAGTGTTACAAGTTCTACCCCCCTTATTTGGGATTTCGTCCCCGAAATCCACGCGTCTAATCATACAGAAATGGATATTGTTCCCTCATTAGGGTCTCCACTTCCCAAGTTTGCTCCTCGACACGATCACTCTTCCAAAGTACTTTTACCATCGGCACCTCTTTGCTCCTCAGCTTCTTTACCTGTCGGTCCATGATTTTCACTGGCTGCACCGTATAGTGCAGGTCTTCTCGGATTTCCACCGGTGGTTTCTCAAGAATATGTGACGGGTCCCGCACATACTTCTTGAGCATAGAAACATGAAATACATTATGAATCTTTTCTAACTCTGGAGTCAACTGAAGTCGGTAAGCTACAACCCCAATCCTTTCAAGGATTTTGAACGGGCCTATGTAACGTGGGTTAAGCTTACCCCGACTGAGGAACCTGATGATCCCTTTCCAAGGTGATACCCTCAGAAATACCTCATCACCGACCTCCAACTCCAACGTCCTCCGACATTTATCAGCATAGCTCTTCTGCCGGTCTTGGGCAGCCTTGAGCCTATCTTGTATAACTTTGATCTTCTCTTTAGTGATCTCGACTAGCTCGGTGCCCTCGAGCTTAGCCTCGCCGACCTCGTCCGAACACAAAGGTGTCCGGCATTTCCTCCCATACAATGCTTCGTATGGAGGCATGCCTATACTCGCCTGATAACTGTTGTTATGAGCGAATTCCACTAAATCCAACTGATTGTCCCAGCTCCCCTGGAACTCCAAGGCACATGCCCTTAACATGTCCTCCAAGATCTGAATCACCCGTTCAGATTGCCCATCCGTTTGAGGATGAAACGCGGTGCTAAACCTCAATTTCGTACCCATGGATTCCTGGAACTTAGGCCAAAATCGTGATGTGAACCGTGGGTCTCTATCCGATACTATAGTAACTGGAACCCCATACAGTCTCACAATCTCATCTGTGTACAATTTGGCCAACCGCTCGAGCGTATAGGTATTGTTGATGGGTAGGAAATGAGCGCTCTTGGTCAGCCTATCGACTACCACCCATACTGCGTCGTAGTTCCTAACCGTCCGTGGTAGACCCACCACGAAGTCCATGGTAACATGCTCCCACTTCCATTCTGGAATGGTAAGTGGTTGCAATAACCCTGCCGGGTGTTGGTGCTCTGCCTTAACCTGTTGACAAGTAAGGCAACGGCTCACGTATTCTGCAATCTCTCTCTTCATCCCCGACCACCAGTAGCTTTCCTTCAAGTCCCGGTACATCTTTGTACCGCCCGGGTGCATGGCATACGCAGATGAGTGAGCCTCCTCAAGGATAGATTTTCGGAGCTCCTCATCCGATGGTACACACACTCGTTCCTTGAATAGTAGAAGTCCATCTTCTCTCTCACGGAAACCCTCGACGGGCCCCACAAGCATCCGTTCCCGGATTTTCTGAAATTCCTCGTCATTGCCTTGACATGTTCTGATTTCATCTAATAAGGTGGGTCTCACCTCAAATCTGGCCAATAGCGCCCCATCCGTGGATATCTCCACGCGTGCCCTCAATGCCCGTAAGCATGTGAGTAAAACCCCTGATGATGAGCTCTTCCTGCTCAGTGCATCGGCTACAACATTAGCCTTGCCTGGATGATAGTCAATGATCAAGTTGTAATCCTTAATCAACTCCATCCATCTCCTCTGTCTCATGTTCAACTCTTTCTGAGTGAACACATACTTCAAGCTCTTGTGGTCGGTGTAAATGTGACACAACTCCCCGTAGAGGTAGTGCCTCCAAATCTTCAATGCAAATACCACCGCACCTAGCTCCAGATCATGTGTGGGGTAGTTTACTTCATGCTTCCTCAACTGCCGAGAAGCATAAGCAATTACCTTCCCTGATTGCATCAGTACACATCCCAGTCCCTGAATGCTAGCATCGTTGTAGATGTCATACCCTAACCCTTGCACGGGCAAGGCAAGCACTGGTGCTTCGGTCAAACGTTTCTTTAGCTCAAGAAACCCCTTCTCACACTTGTCATCCCACACAAACTTAGCCCCCTTTTTAGTGAGCTTCGTGAGTGGAGATGCTATCACCGAGAACTTTTCCACGAATTTGCGGTAATACCCCGCTAAACCGAGAAAACTCCTTATCTCCTTCACGTTCTTGGGCCTCTCCCAATTAGTGACCGCCTCAATCTTTGAATTATCAACTGAAATGCCCGAGCCCGATACCACATGCCCGAGAAAACCGATCTCCCCAAGCCAAAATTCACATTTAGAGAATTTGGCAAAGAGTTGCTTCTCCCGCAGTGTTTCAAGCACAAGCCTTAGATGTTTTTCGTGTTCCTCTTCATCCATGGAGTATATCAAAATGTCATCAATGAACACTATGACGAACTGGTCTAAGTATTGGTGAAATACTCGGTTCATGAGGTCCATGAATGCCGCGGGGGCGTTCGTAAGCCCAAACGACATTACTAGAAACTCATAGTGACCATACCTTGTACGGAATGCACTTTTGGGTATGTCACTCTCCTTGATCTTCAGTTGATGGTAGCCTGACCTCAAGTCAATCTTAGAGAACACCGTTGCCCCCCGTAGTTGATCAAACAAGTCATCGATCCTTGGCAAAGGATATTTGTTCTTTATCGTGACCTTGTTCAACTGACGGTAGTCGATACACATTCTGAGCGTACCATCCTTCTTCTTTACAAATAGTACCGGTGCTCCCCATGGTGAATGACTCGGCCTGATGAATCCGCTGTCCAGCAATTCTTCCAATTGCACCTTCAACTCTTGAAGTTCAGCCGGTGCCATCCGATATGGAGGAATCGAAATGGGTTTTGTACCGGGTTCTACTTCAATGGTGAACTCAATTTCTCGATCTGGTGGGAGTCCCGGGAGTTCTTCAGGGAAAACTTCTGGGTACTCACTCACCACTCTCACCTCAGTGAGACTCTTTTCCTTGCCCTCCTTGCCTATGACATAGGCCAAGTATGCTTGACACCCTTTCCTCATCATACGTCTTGCTCTTATGGCCGATATGATACAAGGGTTGAATTTCCCTCTATCTCCCTCGAAGCATAGAGTGTTTCCTTCTCCATCCTTTAGTTCTAACACCTTGGTGTAGCAATCTACCTTCGCATGGTGTTTTTCGAGCCAATCCATGCCAAGTATAGCATCAAACTCGAGCATATCTAACGGCACAAAGTCACCCGTTAGACAGTGCCCCCCTATCCCTACATTACACGAGGGATAGTAGTGTTTCCGCTCTACATCATCTCCCAATGGCGTAGAGACCAGCAAAGGTTGTATCATTGCTACCAAAGGCATGTTCAATCCCTTAGCAAACGCTTCGCTCACAAATGAACGTTGTGCCCCGGTATCGATGAGAATTCTCGCATCCCTATCGTTGATCTTTAGTGTTCCTACATATATATGTCATGTAAGACACCCTATTCGACATCCCGACGTAAAAGGACCGGACGGAAAAATTTCAGCTTAGAATTACCCTATACCCGGTCGGGTAGGGTCCTCTACCCGGTCAGGTATCACTCGAGTCCTTAAGGAGAAACCCCCCTGTTTTCCTTGCTCGGTCGAGTACCAGCCTCGAATTCGGGCAAAATGTCAATACCCGGTCGGGTATATACCTATACCCGGTCGGGTATCACTCAAAATCCACAAATAAAAGCTCCCTGTCTCCGACGCTCGATCGAGTACACACTTCGAAGCTCGAAATCTACACATACCCGATCGAGTATATAGCCATACCCGATCGGGTATTGCTCGAAATGTCAAAAATAAAGTATTCTGCCTTGGCTGCCCGAACGGGTGCATACTTCAAACTCGAAGCGTGGCTTATACCCGGTCGGGTCTATAGGGGCACCCGATCGGGTCCTTCATATTCTTGAAGATTTTTCAACCAATTACATAATCAAATACGTGTGAAATCAAGAGATTACCTGCAATGGAGTCCGGGTTGGCCCGAGCATCAGCCTCGGTCATTGCATACACCCGTGCTTGGGTCCTCCCTTGATTAACGGACGCGGCGTTGCTAGCCGTGGGTCCGCTCCTTCCCGTGCTGGCCTGAGACGGCCCCGCACGTCCCATACTAGTCGTAGGTCCTCCCATGGCTCCCGATGGTCCTCCCCCGTTCAGCATTGGACAAGAGGATTTGAGGTGGCTCGTGCTACCGCATTTGAAGCACCGGGGTGGTTCATTGCACCTTCCCCCATGGTTCTTACCGCAGTTTGCGCACCTGGGTGGTCCCACACCCCCCGGTTTGGGCCCTTGCCCTCCTGAACCTTTGTTCCTTTTCGCCGGTGGTGCCGGCTCCCTGAATGAATTGCCACCCCCAGCGTGATGCTTCCGGGAGTGGTCTTGGGGTCCCAAGTTTCCCCATCTTCTCTTCTTCGCCTCCTCGGCGTCCCTCAATTTCCTCTCGTTCCAT